TGTTTTGATTACACCATCATATTTGATTGACAGCTTTGCTGGGGTAGAGAATTCTTGGGTGGCAGTTTTTTTCTTTCAGGGTTTTATATATATCTCCCCATTGGCTTCTTGCCTGTATGGGTTTCTGTTAAGAAATCCAAGCTTAATCTGATTTACTTGCCTTTGTATGTTATATTTCTCTTTTCCCTAGCTGCTTTCAAGATCCTGTCCTTATCTTTGATTTTGGAGAGCTTGATTATTATGTGTCTTGGTGATTGTCTTTTAGGGTCTGTCCATCCTGGGGTTCGTTGAGCTTCTTGAATGCTTATCTTTTCACTTTTCATGATGTTAGGAAAAGTTTCTTTCAGAAGCTCTTCAACTATCTCCTTTGTGGATTTGCGTGATTGTTCCTGTTCTGGAATGCCAATAATTCTTATGTTATTCCTCTTCATGTTGTCCAACATGAATCTTAGGCCTTCTTCAGCTTTTTTTTTTATCCTTTTTTGTGTTTGCTCTTCTATCTCAGTAGTGTTGAGAGATTTATCTTCTAGCTCACTAGTTCTGGCTTCTATCTATTCAGTTCTACTCATTTGCCCTTTCAATGTATTGTCCATTTCTGATATTCTATTATTAATCATTTGGACCTCTTTCTGTAGGTTTTGAATCGTTTCCAGTGCTCTATCTATCTTATTTGATTGTTCCTGTAGTGCTCTGCTGACTTCTTCCTTATTTTTCTCAACTCCATTATGTAGTGTCTTGATACATTTTATAATCATTTTTCTGAATTCCTACTCAGGCATTTCCAAAGTCTGCCCATCTTTCAGTATGGAGTTTAGGTCTACTTCCAGCTCATTTGCCTCAGTCACTTTATCTCGTTTCTGGACATGTGCAGGTATGGTCATCTGCTTCTGGTTTTGGGGTATATTCAGGGGTTATCTGTGGCCTTAATACTTAGATGGGTGTGTATTTTGGTGTTTTTTATGCTTTGGATTGTCTCCAGGTAGATGTGATCAGGAAATGGGCTTCCCTTTTCACTCTTCTTGAGAAATTTCAAGATGCCACTGTTGGTCGTTTTGACATAACTCAGAATTTAATTTTCGGCCTATTTCCCTTTTTGTCTGCTTGTCCCGCTCCACAATCCCTGTTCAAGCCTGTTTTCTAGTTATAAACAGTTCAGGGCTGGATGTGGCTGTTTGGTTTTAAGTGGAAACTGCCTCTTTAAATTTTGAGATCTGTGTGCATGCATAGTAGAACCCTCCAAGGGTGGGGCTGGGGCGTTCACTAGTTCAGGCACCCCTATAGTCACCAGAATGGAGGTGCACAGACAGCAAGGGAGCAAGGAACAGATACCAAAAGAAAAGAATGTCTACACCTTTATCTCGGCGGTTCTGCCAGGCATCTGTGGCTGTTGTGATCCTTCTCCCGCTTGATCTCACACAAGATGGTGGCTCCAGGAGCAGCTGAGCATCTTGAATTAGAAAGTAATGGATTTCTTGCTTCTGCTACAAATTCCCCTAGCTGTAAGCCTTCCAACTTCTAAATATTTCTTTATATGTGGTTCAGAGTTCTGGGAGCATCCCCTGAGCCTGCTTGATCCAGTATTCTGTGTTGTTGCTGACGGAGTTCCATACTGCACTTCTACCCGATCCGCCATCTTGATTGTTCTCTACCAGGCTGTTTGAACCACTGTCCCCTTGTAGTAAATTTTGAAATAAGCAAGTGAGAAGCCTCCTACTTTGCTTATCCTGGATCTCTTTCCTTTCCATATAAAGTTTGTAATTGTTTTTTCCATCTCTTCAAACAATGTTTTTGGAATTTGGATTGGGATTGCATTGTATGTACAGATTACTCTGGGCAGTATTGACATTTTCACAATATTCTTATCCAGGAGCACAGTATAGTTTTCCATTTTTGTCTCTTTTGGTTTCTTGTAGCAGTGTTCTGCAGTTGGCTTTGTGTAGACCCCTTGTTTCTCTGATTATATTTATTCCTAAGTATTTAATCTTTTGGGTGGCTATTGTAAATGATATTGCTTTCCTAATTTCCTTTTCAGTGCTGTTATTATTAGTATAGAGGAATCCAACTGATTCTTGTTCCCTGCTACTTCGCTGAATCTTCCAATGAGTTCCAGTAGTTTTTTGCGGAGTCCTTGGGGTTTTCTATGTATTGTTGTTGTTGTTAAGTACCATGGAGTCAGTTCCAACTCACAGTGACCCTGCACAGGCTTTCCGAGGCTGCAAATCTTTACAAGAGCAGAAAGCCTCATCTTTCTCCTGCGGAACAGCTGGTAGTTTCAAACTGCCCACCTTGAGGTTAGCAGCCCAATCCGTAACCACTGCACTACCTTTCTATGTATAAGATCATATTATCTACAAATAGAGTTTTACCTCCTCTTTGCCAGTGTGGATGCCTTTGATTTCCCTGTCTTGCCTTATAGCTCTGGCTAAGACTTCCAACACAATATTGAATAGAAATGGTGATTAAGGGCATCCTTGTCTGGTTCTTGTTCACAAAAGGAAGGCTTTCGGCTTCTCTCCATTGAGAGTGATGTTGGCTGTTAGTTTTGTATATGTGCTCTCAATTATGTTGAGGATTTTGTTAAATCCTCTTTTCTGCATCAAACGATATGATCATGTGGTTTTTTTCCTTTTTCTTATTTATATGGTGGATTACATTGATTCTTTTTCTAATGTTGAACCATCCTAGCATCCCTGTTATGAAACCCACTTGGGAATGATGTTTTCTTTTTTTGATGTGCTGGTGGATTCTATTGGCTAGGATTTTGTTGAGAATTTTTGCATCTATGTTCATGAGATATATTAGTCTATAATTTTCTTAGTAATTAATGGCCTTCCCTGGTTTTGGTATATGGGTTATGCTAGCTTCATAGTATAGAAAAAGATCCATCCTTTTCTATATTCTAGAATAATTTGAGTAGAGTTGGTGACAGCTCTTCCCTGAATGCCTGGTAAAACTCACCAGTGAAGCCATCTGGACCTGGACTTTTTGGTTGGGAGTTTTTTGATGACCTGGTCAGTTTCTTCCTTTGTTATGGTCTGTTCAAGTTTTCTACTTCACTCTTTGTAAGTTTAGGTAGGTCGTGCTTTTCTAAATATGTATCCAACTCCTCTAGATTTTCAAATCCACAGCAGTTTTTAAGGTTACATATTGAATTTTAAGCATACTAGAACTGAAACATACAGAGCTCTTGACAGAATGCTTCTGGACCAGTAAATTAAAAAAAGAATTAAAAAGCAGTTATAGGAATTTGGGTTTGTGCTGGGGCTGTGGCAGAGGGGCCCACGTCTCTGGCATTGCTCAGGCCAGAAGCCTGGTGAAGACTTACCTAATGGGGACTTGGTGCTTCTGAGATACGTACGAGGGTTCTCTTCAGTTGTGAGGTCAACTTTAATTTTTTGAAAAAAATTTGTGTTCCGTCTTTGTATTGAACCTTTCATGGCAACATACAAGATTGGCCTCTGCTTTTTGTTCATGTTAAATTGTGAGAGCTCTAAAATGAGAAATTTGAAATGCTGTTAGTTTAGATCTTCTCCACCTGTGGTGTCTGCTGCATATTGAGCTGGTCAGATAGCTTTTCAAGTAAGCCATGTTTTCTGGTGGGTGTATCATGTTAAACAGTTAACTGTTGTGTCTCTGCAGGGGATAATCTTGGCCAACAGTACAACAGCCCACAAGAAGTTATTGGCAAGCGAGGTTCTGATATCATCATTGTGGGCCGAGGGATTTTAACAGCGTCTAATCGTCTGGAAGCAGCGGAGATGTACAGAAAAGCTGCTTGGGAGGCTTACTTGAGCAGACTTGGTGTGTGAAATGTCTTAGCTGCATCGTGGAAAAGACCTTGAAGATACTGGGTCTCCTGAAATGCACCGGCGTAAAATTAGCAGCCTTTCATACTGCATGGATTCGTCCACAGGGCTTTGGAATCATTTCCGAAGTTAAGGAAGCATTGGATGGCTGGACACATGACTATAACAAGTTGATTTCCTAGCTTGCTTTTACCAAAACTGATGTTTGTTAAGCAACCAAAACCCTGTCTGTGTTAGGGTCTCCCTTAGGCCTCTCTTCTCTAAATCCTACTCCTTTTTTGATTTTCATTGCTATTAAATTAAAATTTTAGGGCATCATAAAGCTGAAACTTTATCTTTTGTCACTTATTCTCTGTCTAATGTGATGCCAAATAATGACTAAATATTCATTGTTCTTCTCTTTCTGCTTAAAAGTGAGCACCCAGATACTCAACTGGACCTTTCCCCCATAGTCGTCATTTCTCACTCATCAAAGGGCCCTACGCTGGAGCGGGATGATGACTGGCGCTGGGCCCTGAAGCGCAGGTCTGGTTCTCATTTCAGTTCACAGGGAAGGTGTTCTCGCTCAGTTCCCTAGGCAACAATTCAGTTGAAACACAGCCCTGGCTTCCTAATTGTATTTAAAAGACAAGTGCTGAGGGTTCTAAAGTTTCTTTTGGGGTTTGCTTGAGAATTGCACATAATTGTCCCAATGCTAGCTGAGGGGGATCCCATCAGTGTAATTAAGAGCTGGCAAGGTGAGAAACATTTCTGGTCGCTGCTGTGGGGAGCATGGGAGCATGGGGAGATCCTCACTCACGTGGGACCACCACAACTAATTAGGCAGCTTGCTCACTCTTGTGCTAAATACACTTAGTCTGAAATGTCTCCCTTTTAAGTATTTAATGTATTCAAGATCACCTTGGTTGGTTGTTTATATGCTGTGGAGCTGGTTCCAACTCATAGCGACCCTGTACAGGGTTTCTGAGGTTGTAAATCTTTACGGGAGCAGAAAGCCTCATCTTTCTCCTGCGGAATAACTGCTGACCTTGCGGTTCACAACCCAATTTGTAACCACTACGCTACCAAGATCACCTTAGAGGGTGGGAATGTGGGCTCAGGTGATAATTTGAAATGGTCCTACTGTGCACAATCAAGGTGGGTTTGAAGGCTGTCAGTTCTGATACCTAGAATCCTGGCTCTGCGTTTCTCAATTAGCTCTTTCACCTGGCTCTCAACTGCAGACAGCTGAGGACCCTCAGGCTCAGCTGTTTCCATTTGCCCCACTCTCCCCACATGACTCCGCCTGGGATTCCACACCGATATTTATTGCAGTTCCGTTGGGGCATCAGATCCCTGAACAAACTTTCTCCGTGGGAAAGGGACGGATTATCAAGGAATAAAGGCCAGAAGGAAAAGGAAAGGTGGCCTTCTGTACTCCAAGGAATTCAGAAGTTATAAAAGACGAGGTAATTAAAAAATAGAGGTAACTTAAGGTTCTGAAATGTCTAGGGTGATGTAGTTGATTTCAACTCCTTGACTAGGGTTTCCAAGAAGTCTGTACAGGAACATTCAACCTAATCTTTCCATGGATTAGCAGTCTGATGTCTAATCTACAGCGCCACCAGGGTTCCTTGTACTAACGTTTGTTGTTAAGTGCTGTTGAGTTGGTTTTGACTCATTGACTGTATAGGGTTTTCAAGGAGCAGTTGGTGGATTTGAACTGCCTTAAGTAGGTTTGTTAAGTGTCATCCAGTCGGTTCTGACCCATAGCAACTCTATAGGTTTCTGAGGAGCAGCTGGTGAGCTTGAACCACCGACCTTGTGGTCTAAAATGGCTTTGCAATCCAGCACATTAACCCACTGTGCCTCACCAGGACTCGTAAGTAGGTTTGTTAAATACCGTTGAGTAGGTTCCAACTCACAGCAACCCTGTACAGGGTTTCCAAGGAGTAACTGGTAAGCTTGAACTGCCAACTTTGCGCTTCAAATGACCTTGCAGTTCCGCGCATTAAAACTGCAGTTGACTTGTTCCTTAGGATGGTGGTTCTAACATTAGCAGCATAGCATGACTCTGGAGGGCTTGTGAATTTACTGGGCCCCCAGACTGAGTCTGGAGAAATGCTGAGGTTTGTAAGTTTCCAGAGAAACCATTGCAGGGGCAGGGCCCACACTTTTGAGAGCCACTGCCCGGAGAGTCTTACACTTATCCCTGAAATGAGTTGGCCTCGGGGTCTGCCTCCTTCCTGCTGAGGCTCAGCATTCTCAGTGGCTAAAGAGGTACTATTCCTCAGAATGGAAGCATTTTGGTGGCTTTTGATAGTTGAACTATCAAAATCACACAATCTGGAAGATTTACCGGGTCCTATAGCAGCACCTGGTCCTGGCTGGGAGAATGAGATGAGACTAGTCTGCTGTCAGGGTAAGATATGGGGAATGGTAACAAAGTGGTGAAGAGCCCAGCCACTAAGTGAGAGACCAGCAATGCTAAAGCCATCAGCTGCTTCAGTTTATGGAAAGGTGGTTGTCGTGAAGAGCCGTCGAGTCGGTTCTGACCCACAGTGACCCTGTATAGGGTTTCTGACCTTGAACCACCGACCTTGCAGTTCAAATGGTTTTACAGTCTGGTGCATTAACTCACAGCACCACACCAGATTATAGTCTTGCAAACTTGATGGGGTGGGCTGTTCTCTGTCCTACCAGGTCAAAATGAGTTGGGCTGGACAGCACACAACACAGGTCCTAGAGTGAAGAGCTATCTGTAAGAGCAGAGGGAATGCGATGAGAACTCCATCCCCCAGCTTCATCTAACTTTGGTGGTTTTTTATATGTTTTATTGTGAATTATGTGATACTTTACATGGGAGAGCATTAGTTTTACGTTCATCCTATCGTATATCGTTTCATTGCCATGGTTAAAATCCCCTCCATGCGTCATCAACCAACCAAAGGGTATACCCTGCAAGCCTGCCCCCGGTCGTCAGCACATAGCCCCTCTCCCTCTTACACTGGTGTTTTGTAGAATATAACTAAGAGTGCTGAGGAAATTAAGAAAGCACCTGGCTCAGCTCCCTTAATCTAGGAGATTTGCAAGTATAGACTCAGAATAATAAAGAGATCTAGTAAGTCATACAGCCAGCTGTGTTTTAGGTCCCAATTCTTTGGACCTCATTTGATGCTGATATGAGTGTCTATAGGAAAAGCACCCCTATGTAGCCCCCAGGATTGTCTAAATCCAGTCTGGCAAATGGCATGAAGGGTAAAGACAACCAACAAAATGGTAGCTGGGACCAACCAGAGACATGACTGGAAGTTCCTATGGCCACAGGCTCTAGCAAGATCTCCAAAAAAGAGGACAGATGTCGTGTATCATCTCCTAGGTTGTTGTTGTTTTTAAGTGCTGTCGAGTTGATTCTGACCCATAGTGACCTTGTATAGGGTTTCCAAGGAGCAGCTGGTGAGCTTGAACCACCAACCTTGTAGTTCAAACGACTTTGGAGTCTGACGCATTAGCCCACAGTGCCACACCCGGACTCCTTTGGGAGAGACAGTCCTGGTATGGCTCTATGGGCTAATGCACTGGACTGCAAGGTTCGTTTGAACCACAAGGTTGGCAGTTCAAGCTCACCAGCTGCTCCTTGGAACCCTATACAGTGTTACTATGGGTCGGACCCAACTCGACAGCACTTAACAACAAACAAATGGGGGAGGGAAGGACATGGGGGAGGAATGGTGCTTTGGTCTGATTACGGGCTCCACCTCTGGCTGCTCTCAGTGAGCTTCGAAAGAAACAGCAGTGTGGGTCCTGTGCACAGACAGTATTTCAGCATTAGTTGAACCTGGTATTTCTGTAAACAACAGTGGGTTACTCCATGGACTGCAGTTCACTGCCTCTGCCCCTTACCAGGTGTAGGCGATATGGGTGCTGGGCACATCAGCGGCAGCCTAAGCACATGCTAAGAGCACGAGAAGCAATGAATGATACAAAACATGCTGATACTGTAAACATGAAAACGTGTGGGGGATATCAGGAGTCACAGTACTTTACATTTATTTTATGATTATTATTAAGGAGCTCTGGTAGCGTAGTGGTTACGAATCGGGCTGCGAACCTTAAGGTCAGTGGTTCGAAACTACCAGCTGCTCCGCGGGAGAAAGAT